ATATATATATATATATATATAAAAAATATATATATATATATATATATATATATATATATATATATATATCCTCGTGAAATTGCCCCAACCAATGACCCAGGAATGTGTAGGTTAGGGGTTGGATGCCCGCTCCCGAGGACAAACACGTTCTTGTGAGAAATTTAACCCAGTAACTGGCAACAGTAACTCATGTTGGAGTTGTAAACCAAAGCAAGTGTTGGAGGTTCACGAGAGTAATGACGTTGCGGGTGGGTACGCTTGCTGGCGCCACGTATAGTGTCCCGCCAACCAGAGCCCTGTGGTAACCTTACGTCTTTGGTTGTTGATACTTGTCGGTAAACCCCAAAGACTAAGGTTCCTAACAAAATATTTACCAACCTAACCTAGCCTAAATTAAGATTTTTTTTTCCTGTCACCTCGCAATCAACCTAACACTGGCCCAGCCTAGGCGGTTAGTGGTAAATGTCGAAGGAATGATTCTTGTTATTTTTCACTACAGAATTTATTGGTATGGAAAAAATCCTCACCACATTCTTCTTCTGAATCTGGGGGTCATGTTACCTTCCTTGTTGTTGAACACCTGAAGATTAGCCACCCAAGCTTACTTCCCTGTATGATCAAACACCCTAACGATACTTAAAGGATGTGTTAGATTAGTTTAGGTTAAGTTAGCATTAGGTTAACGTTAAGTTAGTTTAGATTAGATTAGGTAAGATAAGATTATTGTAGGTTCGATTACTACATTAGATAAGATAAGATTACATGATTACATTACACTAGATAAGGTTAGGTTAGCATTTTGATGGTTAAAGTGAGCTAAACTGGGGAGGAACCTTCAGGTGGGCCATAAACAAAATAAACTGTATCGACAAGTATAGATACAAACACTCAAAATATGCAGACTGCTCGAGGAACAGCTAGGAGGTGCCGTTGGGGGGGAGGAGAAGGGTGAGTGAGATGCAGTCTTGTTAACACAACTTACGTCAATTTTAGAATCATCTATTTTAGTCATGTTCATGATGCTGTTGGCGTGGCACACTGGCACTTGTGACGAGCTAAGTGGGTGGGGGAGGAAGAGAGAGGGGAGGAAGAGGGGTGAGGAGGTGGAGGTGGAGGAGAGGAGGAGGGGGAGGGATGAGGGGGAAGGGGAGGATGAGGGAAGGAGGGGGTGGAAGAGAGTATGAGGAAGGGAGGAGGAAGAAGGTACGCAGTGAGTTAGACGGGTAAAACGGGTGGGAGAAGAGTGTGTGTGAGGTGGAGTGAGGATTACCGACCTTCACCGGTGACCGATCTCACCCCAAAACAAAATAACCTTTAATCTAGTGAACATTAACAAAATTCTGAATTTAAATAGTTCCATGTTTTTAGTATCATCTCACTAGTGTGGTCACGGAGTATCGCCCTTATTATCGACGTACCTCTTTTTCATCGTGATTTAATTCGGTTTTGCTGGTGAACCTAGTACAGTGAAACAACAGGCGAAAGATGTCTTATTTTCCAAGTCAAATGACCATTAGCCTAAAAGAGCATAATTATTTTCTAAGCACCAAAAAGAAATAAGGTATGGCAAAAGGCAAACGGGCAACTCTACAGACAATTTAAAGTGCGTACATTACCAGTCTGAAGTCTGGCCACCTAACTTTGGTTTATCAACCTGACAGTCATGTGTTTCCTGACGTCATGTGACGTACATATTCCTCGACGTTATTTCACATTGGAAAGGTGTGTCATCATTTCCCGTTGGAAAGTTGTTGTTGCTCTGCTATGAGGAACAGATGATCCAATTCTTTGTTTACATTTTACATTTTGTAATACATTCATCTACATTGCAAATTTACAGTATAAAAAAATAAAGTGTAATGATCGTGATCATCAATTCCTGTAAAAATGTTGAAGTGATGAGAAAGCGTAATCTGCGTCACGTCACGCGTCGCGTGGCACTGCCGGTGATAAGATACTTGAGGGTGAAGTACCAGGGAGATAAAGTGGTGTGGTCGCCATGATATGAAGTTTCAAACCTGCCTCAGCAAGCAAGATAAGTTTGTCCAACCCTTCATGTTACCTAGACACCATATCTAATGATTAACCCGCCACGACCCCGCTCACTATGATTAGTGTCTCATAACCTGCACAGATTCAGTACAGTTTACCTCCATATTTGACTCTTAGAAACATGGACAACGATGAGATTACATATCAATGTGGAAAGATAATGACAAGCACAATAGGGAAATGACTGACTGGGCTAAAATTTGCATTTCCTGGATCATTTTCACCGAAAAACGGGACATCATTCTCTCATCTCTGACTCGGGCTGTGCCCCCTTCTTGCACCAGGCCATCCTAATAAGATATACGGGCATGAATGTTCAAGGGGAAACAAATGTATGTGCTAAACACTGAAATGAAGGCGTTTCTGATTACGTGTTATACCAACTTCACACCTAATGTACCAGGAGTCTGTCTCTGACGAACCAAGTTTTTTTTTTTTTTTTTTTTTTTTTTTTTTTTTTTAAGGGGAATAGCCCACCCGGGCACAGGTCATTGACCCACAACAGAGCCTAGGAGGCGAAAAAAGGGAGTAAAAAGAAATTAAATTTTTAAAAGAAAAATATTATATTAATCTCCACCACGAAGATACCGGAAAACCAGCTAATACGTTTTAAAAATAAATAATCTCTCAGGCTCGAACGATTATGAGTCACATCAGAAAACTCCTGGTATTTGATAACGCTTGGCACACTAAAAACATTTAAGGTGAATCTACTGATAACGCCTTCCTCACCCGAGATTCCCAGGACGCATTGAGTACCACCCCTCAAGCGACCGTGCGTCGTGACCTTAACATTTCCTGCCTGGCGAGACGATATAGTAACCTGTCCAAGCTCACCTCATTCATCAAAAATATTGATATGAAATGCTTGAAATTATTACCGTTATTCTTATTCTTATCATTATTATTCCTCCGCTTTAAAAAATATCATACTTAGTCCCCCCACCCCCTATAATAAAGCTTATAAAAATCTTACAAAACAGGTCCAAATTTTCATATCGTTAAGTTTATTATTATCATTACCAGACTAGTTCTGAAATATTTAACTTCTCAAATAGATTAGCTTTATATGAAGAAAAACAAGCATGCACTTTTACCAAACAAGGAAAACCTTAGGGTTTAATGTAAAATAGTACTACGTCATGGAGTTAAATTCCAGCATAAATTCGTAATAAAAACTAGTTATTTCCAGGGGCTAAATAATGTAATTTCATTAATATAACTACCAAACATTAAACAGCGTTGGCAACTTGGCTCAATTTACATCCAACTGCTCTTCAGTAATACTTTACAGAAAGGGTGTAGGGGAGAGTATCCACTACAATATTGTAGTGGATACTCTCCCCTACAAGGGCACCAGTAAAATATCAGTTTGGGGGATTTTTTGTTTAATACATAAGTCACTTTAATGAAATTTTAATTAACAGGCCTGATGTCGGAATTGTGAAAGAACGACCTGAAATTGTCTTGGAAAACACAGTCTGTTGCCTTCGGCGTTTCAGTAAATTAGCAAACAAAAAATCACAGACTCCCAGGAAGGAGCCACCGAACGCTATACAGTAGAGTCGTATACACCCAAGTTTGGCGATTCTCAATTATTCGTTCCTACTAAAGTCAGACATTATTAGGTGATGGCTATGGTAATTTGCCAGAGTGCCAAGGGCGAGAGGCTACAGCCTACTTGCCACTTTCTAAGGAAATTAAAATCTGTTCTTTCGCACTTGCAACACCGAATTTATTCCCTACAAATACATTCAAATAAGAAATGTACTATTTTCAATAGTTTAGTAGTGCTTTTGTTGTAAATCATAACCCAATTTGCTATTATTCTTCTATAAGTCTTCATGAATACGAGTAACTGTAATTAAGAGGTTTTATGCCATTTGAAATATGAGGTCTGGTTTCTGACGCCACCTGTTTCTTAATGCAGATAAAAGTAGTTGATTTAAGTATCTGTCCGCCCCAGAAAATGAAACACTACCTGTTTATCATTTCCAATACTACGTTCATGAGCTACTTCATGCTTCAGTCTGGTATGGCAACCACGTTTACGGAAATAATATCACTCGTAACACACAATCCTTCCCTGATGTCAAGTTACCTGATGTAAGGACAAAGTGACCCCACAAATACATTATAATACAGGAATCTATACTAATCGAAACTCCTTCCTACTCGATGATGATTATTCATGTGGAGTGATTCCGTCACAACAGAGGCTCGAGATTTAAACTTTAAAGGGTCAATAAATGAATATTCCACGTAACAACAGTTGTAAGAATGCACCTAACAGGCTAACTTGAAACAGAACACCTCTGAAAATGGCACAAAAATTACATTTATCCAATTTGTTTTCCCAATTAGTGATAAAGTAAACATAACGAGATAGTCTCAGTAGAACTTTGCTATTTTTACGAAGTTTCTTTAATTGTAAGAACTTTTGTAAATCTGAACCCACAGCAACTTACAAGTGGGTATATGAAGTCAACAGTCACAGGTTAATAGTAGCTTCCTTATACCATCATGAAAACAGTAATGCAGTACACTGTTACCCTCCAGTATACGATCACCTATTTACAGACTAACTATGTATTCTACAGCTTCACTTTTCTAAAACCTTATTATCAAATGATTACAAATATCAAACACCATTTTAAATATTATAATATTTATGTAAAATTATATCCCTACTACTATTGTCATAGCCAGTATTGACTGGCGGTCGTCTGCTACACTTCTTCGTTTCATACTATCGATTTAATTATCGATTATCAAGATTACTGGTGGCGTGCAAAAACAACTACACTCACAAGCAAGGAGGATATAGAAATGTCCCTCACGCTTAAGGTAAAATTGTCAACTAAGGAGACCACACAACAAATCAATATTTTGAGTAAAACTCTGAATGTTAACAAACTCCGCACAAATCAACAGTACTTCACACTTACCCCTCAACGCCACCGAAGATTAGATTTGCGTTAACCATTGTGTATAAGGGAGTTAATAAACGATCGACAGCCCACGTCAGCTCCTTGGCGGTAACTATCAGACTGCGTCGCTTTGTGGAGGATAGAAAGGGAAAAGTGCGTCACTGTGGCAATGGCTAGATGCCGCTATATACTCAATTTCACACCTGATAACTCTACTTGTGTTGTTCAATGGTTATCACTGGCATTCCTCGATATTTTTTCTTTACTATTTTTAAACATGTTTGGTACTTTATCAACAGAAATAAATCAGAAACTTACTTAACTGACCAAGCAACATTAATTCAATACAGAGAAAAGTGGCAACGAGACCGCACCCCTGGCAGCGAACAATCCCATTGGTTAACAGAGTCCCCACCCTCGGTTGACCAATGACAGCCGGCGTTGGGACACACTTTCAACGTTGACTGTAATGTTCTTAAGGATGTAATATTTACGTTGCCCTTCGGAATTGGCACTTTTTGCAGATTTATTTTCCTGTACGTAGATCATACTGGCGTACGACCTTTGAATAATATCAAACCATTATGTTACGGTTAATTTACTTTACTTTGTTATTCTCTTCGCCACCGATCGGCTTCCTGCCACTTGGTCAGTTGGACACGTTTCTCTGTAACACACTTGTTAACTTGGTATGCACTGGCTCCAGAATGTATCTGAACCTGCGCCAATGTTGGTCAAGTCTATGAAAGAGCTCACATTCGGTGCTATCACAACACTCGGTGGACTGTTCCAATCAAAGGATGAGCCAGTAAATTTATCTTAATTTATACACGGGACTGCCAACTAAACCAGCAATAGAGTGGTATTTTTCGAACTGAAGAACAAAACACGACAGTGCAATATGAATGTGTGACAAAAATTTACACCTGAACAGTGTAAACAGTGCCGGATTTAGACCTGTGGAGGCCCATGGGCAGCCTCTTTGTGGAGGCCCCCTCATTATAACTACCCAAGAGGGTGGAGTGGCGAGTGAAGCGAGCCTAAACATCTGGGAGTTCCGGGAGGCGCTGTAAGCCCCCCGGGAAAATTTTGAAATTTGAACACTTCTTTGGAGAATTTTGAAGCCATATGCAGTTATATTGAGGAAATTAGAACATTGAGAAATTTTAAATTTACTATATATTTATTGGTAGTGTACAAATTCCCAACACACACACAAAAGTGAGGCATGACTGGAGTCATTCATGTGGTTTCAAGGAGTAGCTAGCCTAATTTCAATCACGCTTCTTGCTGAACATAGTTTTACGTGATGGAATAGATAAACATGAATTTTAAAGAATAAAAATAAAAATAATCCAAATGAATAAACAAATAAATAAAATATTGTAATATGTGGAGGCCGCCAGATTGTGGAGGCCCCTGGGCAGCTGCCCACTTGGCTCACGCCTGAATCCGGCCCTGAGTGTAAAGTTTCAAGAGTAAAAGTACTTACGATATTTTAGGTAAATACTGAATCGCAGTAACCATTATCATTGCAATTTATGCAGCAATCAGTTAAAACAAACAGCTTCCGCAACAAGGTCCATAAGAGTCCTGGACCTGACATGGTGCATCCTAGAGTGCTAAGGGAGCTGTGCAACGAGCTTGCAGAGCCCCTGAAGATTCTGTTTTGTAAATGCCTGGATGAACAAATGGTCCCCAGTGAATGGAAAGTGGCTTATGTGAGTCCTATCTTCAAGAAGGGCGATAGGCACTCCACGAACAACTATAGACCGGTGAGCCTGACCAGCATAATATGTAAAGTACTTGAGAGTATTATCAGAGATGCAGCGATGGAACATCTACTACGAAACAACCTTGTAAAAGATTGCCAACACGGTTTTATGCCGGGGCGCTCTTGCTTGACACAATTGCTCAAGGTATTGGATATTTGGACCCATATTCTAGAACGGGGTGGTAATATCGACAATATTTACCTAGATTTTGCCAAGGCTTTCGACAGTGTACCCCACGAAAGGCTGAAAATCAAACTGGAAGGGTACGGAATTCGGGGAAATGTCCTAGCGTGGATAGAAGACTTTCTACATGACCGCAAGCAATGTGTGGTGATTAATGGCACGAAATCGTCATCTGTACCTGTAACAAGTGGGGTACCGCAGGGTAGTGTATTGGGCCCGCTGTTGTTTGTTTGTTTCATAAATGATATGCCTGACGTTGTACACTCCTCCATACAAATGTTTGCCGATGACGCCAAGTTATTTCGGGAAATTAAGAACCAAGCGGACTGTGAAGAGCTGCAGAAGGACCTCTGTGGGCTCCAGGAATGGTCGAAGGAATGGCTGCTGAGATTCAATGTCACGAAGTGTAAGAGGATGCACCTGGGGCGTACCAACGGTAAGGAGGCGTACCATATGTCCCAACGGGATGAAGAAAATGTACTAGTTGAGACTGTGTGTGAGAAGGACCTAGGTGTGTATGTTGACAATGAGCTGAAGTTCTCGGGCCATTGTGAGAAGAAGGTAAATCAGGCAAATAAATTATTGGGTCTTATAAGAAGGTCGTTCAGATATCTAGACGGTCCGTCCCTCGTGACGATCTTCAGGAGTGAAGTGCTTCCCCATCTGGAGTACTGTCACCCCATCTGGTCCCCGAGATATGCTAGGGACTGTCAGTTGGTTGAAAATGTTCAAAGGAGGGCCACCAAGCTGGTGCCTGCACTTCGGCATCTCAGCTACCCTGCGAGATTGGAGCGCCTGAACTTGCCTAGCTTATACTACAGACGGGCAAGGGGGGACCTAGTTGAGGTTTATAAGCATCTCAGGGGGCACTACTCAGTTGAGTGTCCTTACTTGGAGCTGGCGGACGCTCGCCCCACAAGGGGTCACAGCTCAAGATTGAAGAAGCCGCAAGTCCGGAAAACCGTGAGGGCAAACTTTTTCGGAGTGAGGGTTGTAAACTCTTGGAACAATCTACCAGAAAGTGTTGTGACGGCACTGAGTGTGAGCTCTTTCAAGAGAAGACTTGACCAACACTGGAGCGGGTTCAGGTACATTCAGGAGCCGGTGCATGCCCAGTATTTGCCAACAGTGCGTGACAGAGACGTGATCCCCGGCGGCTAGCGAGCCGACCTTGGTGAAGAATATGAAAGAGTGTGACCGATCGCTGGCGGCTAACAAGCCGATCAGTGTGAAGAGGATAAAAAAAAAAAAAAGTCTTGACTAGTTAACACATTATTGCACCTCTAATTACAATGGTAAACCCCTTCATTAGCTCGTTACACTTCAGACTCATTTTCGCTCTAAACCAAGACGAAAACATGGGGAAAAAAACACAGCTTAATAGATTTGAACGAGTAATATTACTCCTGGGCGGGTTTCCTGTTTCTATGCACTATTCAAGGTTTACCCGTATACAAAGTCCCTTGGGGTTTGTTAATACCGAGTTCCACGAAGAAATATACTTTTCCAAAGCTTACAAAAATCAGCCATAGTACAAACTCATTTTCTATAGCGGCTCGTTTTTTTAAAGTCAATGAATTTCGTACCAAATACTGAAACTTTCTTACTTTCCTCAAACTATTAGTATTCGAAAATCCTTACATTAATTCTTTATAGTCTTTGCTTGCTGAAAACCTGAGTGGGGGTAAAAATACTGTACTTCCCCAATGCGTCATCAATATCCCGAAACGTATCATTAATATCCTTAAATTAATGAATAATTCCCCCTAAAAGATTCGATAATTTCCTTAGTACGTTCGACCAAACTAAAGGAACATTGAGCGGAGCCCCCAGGAAAGAGTTTGGTTGTTTGAATGTTATGGCTACCACTGGAGTACTGTACCTTTATACGCTCGTCAATCTGTATACTTATACGCATAATTACATGAAACCTTGAGCCTTATCGCGTAGTAACTATTACATTTAGTAATTTCATGAAATGTCCAATAATTACAATAAATTCACGAGAAATTGAGGTTCATCTGTTGTTGAAATTGCCGAACCATCTTTCATGTAATGCTTCCTAAATATTAATATGACAGATTACTGAAAATGTCAAGTGTGTGTACTCTGTTGTTGCACATGATTACTTTAAGTATTAGTACATAATACAACATTATAAACATGGATGGGAACTATTTGAGAGGTATTACTCGAATATCAAGATTATACAGTTCAACACACATAATATTAACAAAATCGCCCAGTGTATCCAAGTATTTGTGTTTTGTAAGTCGGGCAACTGTGACAAATACTGACACATTTCGTCTGACATTTCTTGCCTCCAACATTTACACTGTGGGGATTGATAGCCTAGACATGGTTTATGCCATAGTCAACTAAACAATGCTGAAGACAAATCACACTGACTGCAGAAACATCATCCCTCAGAATGAATGTAGTTATAATACCCAAACATGTCACCGTCTGAAGATCTCTGCGTACCGGTTGCAAGTCTCTCGGATTTGTACAGACTTTATGGGAACAGGTCAGATATTTGTACTGTTGTCGCCCATCTAAGCTATTGTATGTATAATCCCCTTCATTAGTGCGTTTACAGGGGCTCGACAGGTTTTTTTGCAGTGTGGTAGCCCCATGTTTGTTTACATTCGACAAGACACTCGCAATAGTAAACATACTATGAAATCACATTAAAATAATATCAAAACAAATATCTCAAAGATGATGATGTTTGGAATGTTTATATGACGAGCCCCTGTAAACGCACTAGTGAAGGAGACTGTACAATGTCCTTGATGTCACCAATTGCTTACTACTGATCATTGGCGTGGTTTTCTGTGCAGTAAATAAAAGGCATAAAGGTTATAATTGTTGAAGTTCGGCGGGGATTTCCAGAGTGAATTTGGTCATTGCCATTGTGAAGGACAGGAATAACCTTCTTCCTACTGTGCAGTCGACCTTTTTTTTTCCTGTTGACCATCGATGTGGTTATTGTCTGACACATAGGGTTCTCTCATTATGTGCTAAACAAAGTCTGTTAAGTTCCCTTTCACCATAATCTTCCACTGTAGTGATGAATTGTAATAAAAACTGGGTCGACCATGGGAGGTATAAATGAGGGTGTTTGTGTGTGTGTCTGAGGGATTGTTTGGCTCCTCCCTCCTGCTGACCCTGTGTCCCTTTATGCTGCCCTTCACCTCACATTGTCCTTCATAGG